CCCCTCCATAACTCCCCTCCTCCCAGTTCCCATCCCACCCTCCGCCCTCACTCCCCACCCACTGTCCTCATCCATAGGTGCACGATTTTTGTCCAGTCTCTTCCTGCATCTCCCATTTCCCTTTCCCCCCCAAGAATAGTCAGTCCATTCCCTTTCTATGTCCCTGATTCATTATAATCACCAGTTCATTCTGTACATCAGATTATTTATTCACTTGATTCTTAGATTCACTTGTTGATAGATGCATGTTTGTTGTTCACAATTTGTATCTTTACCTTTTTCTTCTTCCTCCTCTTAAAGGATACCTTTCAGCATTTCGTATAATACTGGTTTAGTGGTGATGAACTCCTTTAGCTTTTCCTTATCTGTGAAGCTCTTTATCTGACCTTCAATTCTGAATGATAGCTTTGCTGGATAAAGTATTCTTGGTTGTAGGTTCTTGGTATTCAGCACTTTGAATATTTCTTGCCATTCCCTTCTGGCCTGCCAAGTTTCTGTTGAGAAATCAGCTGACAGTCGTATGGGTATTCCCTTGTAGGTAATTGAGTCTCTTTCTCTTGCTGCTTTTAAGATTCTCTCTTTGTCTTTTGCTCTTGGCATTTTAATTATGATGTGTCTTGGTGTGGTCCTCTTTGGATTCCTTTTGTTTGGGGTTCTCTGCGCTTCTTGGACCTGTAAGTCCATTTCTTTCACCAGGTGGGGGAAGTTTTCTGCCATTATTTCTTCAAATAGGTTTTCAATATCTTGCTGTCTCTCATCTTCTGGCACCCCAATTATTCTGATGTTTGTACGCTTGAAGCTGTCCCAGAGGCTCCTTACACTATCTTCGTATTTTCGGATTCTTTTTTCATTTTGCTTTTCCGGTTGGGTGTTTTTTGCTTCTTCGCATTTCAAATCTTTGGCTTGATTCTTGCGCTCCTCTGGTCTGCTATTGGGTGTCTGTATAATATTCTTTATTTCAGTCCGTGTATGCTTAATTTCTAGTTGGTTCTTTATCATAGCATCGAGGGTCTCATTAGTTTTCGTGACTCTCTCCTCAAGTTTATTGACAGCTTCTAGCACATTTTTGCAAGCCCTCAAAATTGCGATTTTTAGCTCTATATCCTCCATTTCTGTCATGTTTTTTTGTCTCCGCATTTTTTATGCTTTCTTGGTGCACCCCCTAGTGGTCTTTGTGCGCAGTCTTGTTCTAGTTGAGCCTTGATTGTTGTAGTTAATACTAGAGGGATTTGACCACCAGGCCGACTGGCTGTGTGAATCAGCTGTGTCTGCCGCGGAAAACTTCTGTCCTCTGGGGAGGTGCTAATCTAGCCTTTGCCTGAGGCGATCTGGCAAATGGCTCTGCGCAGGGCTTGGGCGGGGCGGGCTCAACAGGGCGGGCGGGCGGAGGGAGCGGTTATGGCCCCTCTCAGTCCCGTTCCCAGAGGCTCTGCTTCTCAGAACCCCCGGAACCGCTGCAAACCTCGGAGGGAAAGCTGCCTTCCAACTGATGCCAGACACTCCCGCTTCTCCCGTTTGGGTCCGAGTCCCCAGCGATTCGCCCGTATCTGGAGCTCAGAGTCTGAGACTCCCCCCTGACCGAAAACGACAACCGCGCTCTCAGCCACCAGCCCGCTTTGCGCGCGCACCTCCGCACCTGAGTTTTTTCCACACTGCGCCTCCTCTGAGCCTCGGTGTGCTGTTATTTTTCCTTCTAGTTGAAGAGTCTCTCCTCAGCCAGCCTTCCTGTGGTTCTGGGTGATGTCCGTTCCGTCTTTTAGTTGTATTTTTGAAGTGGTTGTTTGCGGCAGCAGTCTGCGGTGTTTACCTATGCCACCATCTTGGTCTCTCTCTGGATTATAAATTTCTAAATGATTGTTCACACAATGCAATAATATTTTATGTTTTATTTATAAAAAGTTCAGTACCTTTGTAGACATTTTTTATTTATTTACAAAATATTTTTAAAGAATCAAATATTTGTAAAATCCTATTTAGAAGCAACAAAGAAGAAAAGTGTTATTATGTTTAAAGGGTTTTTTTTTAGTACTCAAATCTCTAATTTTATCACAAACAGTTTTGTAATTTTATTCATCAAATTGTTATATATGACAATATTTGTGAATTTTGACAATTGTAGCTTATATGTCAATTGCAGTTTGGATGCATTTATAAATTACATTTACACCATAGCCAATACCAAGGATACAATTATTCCAAAGGTTTCTCAATAAGAATTTTTATTTTTTTACTATGAACTTGTGCTCTGCCCAATATAAATTTACACTGTGCTTGGAGTAATTTTACTTTAAGTATTAT